CAGCAGCATCAAGGCAACTTTCAAGCAAATCCAGGCAACTGTCAAGCAATTCTAAGAGTCTCCAAAGCTTTTCTGGTGTTTCTCTCAGCCTTAAACTCTGTTTTTCATGCTGACTGCATCTAAATGCAGAAATATAGACCAAGTCCAGAAGAAAAAAAAATTGCAATATTCTTTACAGGAAGAAAAAAGCAGAATGAATTACTGCCATCTAATGGTTGGAAAGAGCGTTTTCTCCTTTGGATAAACGACAATGATTCTGAGGTAGGGATGAGGAAATAAAATGTTCTGCCATTTAAAACTGTTGCTGACTAATAATATGATCAAGCCTTTGCAATTCAGCTAATTGCATATGGTCTTAATACATCTAGCCTATGCATCTGTAATTGTGTAGCTGTCCTGACATGCCTAACAGAGCATTTCTAGGGCAGGGGCACCATGGGAGTCAATGGTGAAATTCAAACCATTCTGAACATTCACACCTGCTTTTGGCTACTTCCTGTCTATAGAGCCTGACTAAAGAGCACTGCAAAGGAAAGTAACCTGTGGGCTGCATAAATGTACAAACATACAGCCCTAGACAATGGAATGTAACATTACAGTAAATGAACTAGCATGTGCATGTATCTATCATGACCCTCTGAATCAATAGTTCAAGTGTCTTAGGCCCTATATTGCTAATGATGATCCTCCTTTAGCTCAAGTCATCATGGCCTGTGCTTCTGGAATTCTTTCATTGCTACCCCTTGTAAAGGTGGAATAATGACAGTATGCAACAGTCCTTAAGCTGTCATGATATGTCATTATACTTGGCATTTATACAGCACTTTATAAACATGGACTCATTAACCCTCACACCACTTCTGAGAGATAGGCTGGTATTTTCATCCATGTTTTACACATATAGCAACTGAGTCACAAAGAATCACTTTTCAAAGGCCAGTGAAGAAGATAACATCAAAGCCACAAATAGATCCCAAGCATGCTTGGCTATGGATGTTCTGCTCGCATTCCACCTGATCAAATCTAACTGGCTCACCACTGACAGAATATAAATGTGCTTCCTAGCATTTACTTTGGCGCCGTTTGGATTAAAAAACAAAACCACCTGTGTCCTGAGATGCAGTTGTTTTCTATTCCTCAGTAATTCGTTCCCCAGTTAGGTTTGGGTACAGGGGCATCAAGGGCAATGCATTAGGTTTTTGAGGGGTCCGTGAAACATTTTGGCCAAGAATCTATAATACAAAGGCTGTTTTATTGTTCCAAAACATGTTCCTCCACATTTTGTCATGGAGGACACTGACATGTTCACAATTAATAGACTACATGGTAATTTCCTGCTGTAGGGATTGCCTTGGGCTCAGTTTGATGCTAAGCAGTCTCTGAGTTGAGGTGCTGCCACCCTGCCATTAGAGATGCAGGTCTGAATGAGCAGATCAAGCTGCTTTTGTCAATCCCAATAAAACAAAACACACACACACAGCGACATCCCAGTTCAGAGAATAAGGTTACTGCATTTTGTATGTATGATCTAAAATGAACCACAAAGAACTGGGGAGATTCTTCATCCTCCATCCGTGTAATGGCAACACCAGGGAGAGGTCTCTGTCTCCCTTCCCTGGAATCATTCAGGTGATAGCAGCAATCTATCTCTATGCTGCAGCTGCCCAAGCCCAGCCCTATGGAGCAGTGGAGAGCAGCCAGAATCCAGGTCAGTGTGTGATCTCCTGCTAAGAGCAAAATTTCCTATTAATAACATTTTTACGTAAGTGTCCACCATTTGCTTGGTAATATTTAGGACACAGAAGGCAGCACTGTCGCTCTTCACTCCCCCCACCCCCAACAGCCCCACAAGCTTATTGCCCAAGGAGAAAACACAGCAGTGAATGTCCCTGAAAAAGATTGTGTCTTGGACCATTACTGGGAAAGAGAGTCACAATCCCATCATTTTAGTGGGAGGCAGAAAAGTATGAGTATTGGTAGGGGGCATGGGGAGGGAAGCAAGCTCTGAGGAGAGATTTAAAGTAGAGAGGGGGAGCTCCAAGTACAATAACGTAGAAAGGCTGGATTTATGCTTCAGGACTGACAGAGAATACAGGGCAAAATTATCTTCCTGATTCTGACACTGTAAAAAGTCACACTGTGCCTAAGTTCCCCATGTATAATAAGGGTCAAACAACTCTTCTCTATTGCACCAGGTTTGTTTTGAAGGCAAATGTTTTAATGTTTAAAACTTAAAAAACAACAGATAGACTGGTAGCACTTTAAAGACTAACAGAACATGTAGATGGTATGGTGAGGCAATGTTAATGTTTGTGAGGCAACTAAGTGCTAGTGAGATTGGGAAGGAGAGATCTCCAGTCATAAAGGGCATCAAGGAAAAATGCAAGTGAGACAAGGAAGGATCCAAATGAGAATTGCAGCCTGCTCATTGCCAGCAATTCAAGAATTTTCCTCTGCTTTGATAGGATACTTTGTTCTTATAAAGACCATTATAAAATTATAAGAAAAAAGTGAAGCAGGTGAGCATAATTAACCTCATTTCACAGCTCAGAGTCCAACAGTTATGTAATGTGTTTCTGTTGCATAGATGAGAATAGTGAGTGACCTAGCTTAGTACTTCTTGACTCTTCACTAGTGTTGTATCATAGCCCTCTCTCTCTGCTAGAGTTATAGCAGCAATGGGCTATGTGCATTCTGAGTGCAGAGGACTTGTAGATTCTAAGGCCAAAAGGGATTATTGACCCTTTTGTCTGACTGCCTGGGTAACCCAAACCAAAAACCTGCCTCACAATAATTCCTTGAGCCAATTGTCCCAGTCTTAATTTAAGAGTGTCCAGTGATGAAAAAACCACCATTCACCCTTGGCAAGTTGCTCCATTAGCCTTCATTGCTAACACTTTGTACCTTCTTTCAGCCTTCCTTCAGAGGTCATGTTGTCTAGACCTTTAATCATTCTCATTGCTCTTCTCTGGACCCTCTCCAATTTCTCCACATTTTTCTTGAAATGCGTGCCCAGAACTGGACACAATACTCCAATTGAGGCCTAACCAGCACAGAGTAGAGCAGAACGACGTCTCGTGTCTTGCTCACAACACTCCTGCTAATGCCTCCCAGAATCATGTTTGCTTTTTTTGCAACAGCATCACACTGCTGACTCATTCCGCTTGTGGTCCACTGTAACCCCGAGGTCACTTTCTTCCTAGACAATCGCTTCCCATTCTGTATGTGTGAAACTGATTGTTCTTTCCTCAGTGCAGCACTTTGCATTTGTCTTTATTAAACTCAGACCATTTCTCCAATTTGTCCAGATCATTTTGAATTATGACCCTATTCGACAAAGCAATTGCAACCCCCCCAGCTGAAGAAGCCTTGGGCAACAGAAGCTGAGCTCCATCCCACACAGCTCCCAGCACACCCCTGGCACCCCATGGAGAAGATACAGGAATCACCAGGAAAAGAGAAGGACCCAGGTGCTCATCTCCCCCCACCTTCC